TAAGAGTGTCTTTATGTGCGGAATCCAGAATCTCTGTCTTACGGCGTTGATTGTGACTGCCGTATTCTGGTGGTGGTTCTGTTCGTGGTAGTGTTGGACGATCAGTGCTGCGACAACGTGATTTGACGGCAACAGAATCGGTCTGCGAGCGTCGAATGGTAGGCATGTTGCCTCGTCAATGCGACCGTTCAGTCGCAAGAGGCCGTCCTCGTCTAGATAGGGTGTAAGGCCATACACACCACTTTGCCGGGTAACTTGCGTGATGAGGAAAGCTGTTCGATCTCGCTTGCGAAGCACTCTTGCTGTACCTGTTTGCTCACTATACGCTCTGCCTGGTCGATTTCAGCAGCAGTTAAGGTCTTCGACAGATGTACGTCAACGGGCACCGATTTCCTCCGGAATAAAAGTTGGGCTCGTATGACCCAGGCGACAGTACGTTTCAGCTTTAAATATGAGTTAAATTTAGTAAAATCTATTAGAGTTTTACTTGCCTGACAATATAGTATATAACTCGTTTCAACTTCTTCCAGAAGTCCGCTGGAACGCTCGATAATGGTGGACGGCCAATGCTCTTCATCGTTCTTCAGGAAGTCTGGGCCTTTAATCCAGTGACAGTTTTTATCGAACCTAGGTGGATTTTGCAGGGTTGATGTTTGTGGGTACCCAGCGCCACTGCTCAGGGGAAGTTGCACTTACAATCTCAGAGATTCGATGGCCCACGAAGGGTTTGTACTTTCTCTCGGAAGAGTGGACCCATTGTAAGACCGTTTGTGAGTCGCTCCAAAACAAAACGCGACTGATTTTAAATTCGTGATTGTTGACAAGCAGTTTACTTAGCCTTGTCCCTAGAACTGCGGCTTGCAGTTCAAGTCGTGGTATAGACAGAAGCCTCTTCGGCGCGGTGCGTGTTTTACCCATGACGAACGTTACGTCAACTGAACTGTCATACACCACTCGGAAATAGCCCACCGCTGCAAAGGCTGCCTGGCTGGCATCGGCGAAAATATGCAACTCAATTCTGCTGCTGTGCGAAATATTGGGTGAGTAGTGTCTTGGTACTTAAAACTCTTTGATATTCGGGAACTCCTTCCACCAGCGGGACCATCTTGCAGCCAATTCAGCATCTAACTTCTCGTCCCATCCAATGCCTAGTCTCCAAGTGTCTTGTATGATGATTTTCGTAGTTATCAAAAAGTTCGCTAGTAGCCCAAATGGGTCGAAGACTGCCATCACTATGCCCAGTAGTTCTCTTTTTGTCGGAGCGCGAATTCCCTCTAGCACTGGCTGCGGTACGCGATGGAATTTTGTATGGAACTCGAAAGTATCGTTTCTGGTATTCCAGTACATACCAAGTACTTTGTCAGCCGTCTGGTTGCGTTCCATATTAATTACCTCCCTTGTCGTTAGAGGTGTTTTATTCATGGCTTTCTCTATGTAGCCGCAATTAGAGATGAAGTTCCGCAATTCGAACCCGGCTTCCGAATTGATGGCAACTATCTGTTTGCAAATTTTGATTGCGTGCTCCGGCGTGTGAAAACTAGTCACCAGGTCATCGACATAGTGATTGTTAATAACAATGGAGGCTGCTTCGGGAAACTGAATTCTGAACCTTTCTGCGTTTTTGTTTTTAACATGCTCTGCGATGCAAGGCGAACAAACTGCCCCGAAGATCATCGACGTCATCATATATTCTTCGATCGGTTGATTGGAGTCTCCATCTCTCCACAAATATCGCTGAGCATGTTGGTCCATCGGTCGTACTTTAACCTGCGAAAACATCTCTCTTATATCCGCTGCTACGCCAATTTCGCCCTGGCGGAATTGCAATAGTATGCGTATGAGCGGCTGTGCCTGCTCGGGGCCCTTTAACAAGACTGAGTTCAGTGAAACCTTATTCACTGTAGCTGCGGCGTCGAAGACGATGCGGAGTTTGCTGGGCTTGCTT